GTTCAAGGCCAGGTTGGATGGGGCTTGGAGCAACCTGGTCTAGTGGAAGGTGTCCCTGCCCTGCACTGGGAACCAGTTAGTGCTAGGGACTTCTGTCTGCAGTCAGAATTCCAGCAGTTTGGGGTTTAGTCTGTACAGTGTGTTTTTCTTGACATATATATTAACATTTTGCATATGTGTGGGTGTGAAATTTACGATCCGTCTTTGCTGCTTTTTGTACTTGGCTGTTGAACCTTTAAAGGAAAATCTATGAAGGGGTTTTCTTAGTTCCATTTTAGGTTTGCAGTGATAAAAGAAATTCCAATGATATTTGATAATTGCTTTTACTTAAGAATAAGAATGCATGAGAAACATGTAAAATGCAATCATGTTTTGATGTGCTGTATTACGTTTGAAAAGTGCTGAAAGGGAAATCTGAATAAAATCTTTCTATTGATTTTCTTCTTGCGTTATCTTTCAAGTTAGCTAATTTTTCAGAGAGCTTTTGAAATGACTTACTCTGATTGAGTCACAGTGGAATTCTGCTTCCATTCTAGATTATTGTAATCAATTACAAAATTGAGTTTAACCTGTCTAGGTTGTCAATATCTAAAGACAAATGCTAGAAGTAATGAAGTCCAGAAAAGATTAGTTCTGGATCTTGGGAATGCCGTGGGGCAGGAGAAGAGCTATCACTGTCTCTCAGGTGCTGGTTTTGTTCTGGCTTTATAAATCATTACCACTTCTCTTTTCAGCTGGGGAAATATATATTTGAATTGAACAAAGATGTTTAGAAAATCCTACCAAAATAGGCAAAGTTGTTGCCTTAAAAGTTGTTGTCTGCTTAAAATATTTTTACATGTGGAAATAAGCTGCGGATAGTTTGGCATCTTGACCAGCGTATACAATTTTAAAAGCCAGCGAGAGCAAAAAAGAGTATCATTGGAATTTATGGTGATGTTTTGTTTAGGTAGAAGATGTATAGCATTCTTGAAATACCTGATACTGTGTAAGGTATTTCCTTATTTTATGTTTTTTCATAAATCTTCAGCTACTATTCCTGTGAAAAAAAGCCTGTATGGATGCATTCACATGCAGGCTTCATGGCATACCCAGTTACTTGGCTTGGTACAGGTTATCAAACCAATATTTCTGTACAACGTTGTGATATAAGCCCCCATAATTTGCATTTTTAATTTCAGAGAAGGTATTGTAGCGTTTGATTCACATAGCTGTTGCAGAATTTGAGCACTGTTTGTGCCTGTTCTTGATACCTGAAAGGATGTTTCTTCTGCCACAGGCAGAATCATAGAATCATGGAATGGTTTGTGTTGGAAGGGACCTTAAAGCTTATCCAGTTCCAACCCCCTGCCATGGGCAGGGACACCTTCCACTAGAGCAGGTTGCTCCAAGCCCCTGTGTCCAACCTGGCCATGAACACTGCCAGGGATGGGGCAGCCACAGCTTCTCTGGGCACCCTGTGCCAGCACCTTCATGGTGAAGAACTTCCTAATGTAAAATGGCTTACATGTTATCAAAACTGCCCCCACTCTTTTTTTGAGCACTGAAAATGAGTTTTTTGCAACAGTACTATAGTAATAAGTGACAGCCACTCCAAAGAAGAGGATTCTGTATTTACATAATGAACTTCACATAACAAACAAGATAACCATTGATGTCTTGTGTCATCAGTAATGAAGTGGTAAAAGTATGTCTGACCCAAAGGAAGCGGGATCCCAAACTGAACATGCAAGCCTGAACATTCAAAACTGGGTTCTCTGTAATTCCGTGTCTTACTTCCCTCACTTCAAACTTGGCAGCTAGAATGAGCAAACCCCAATAATGATTCAAGCAGTGGTTGTGGCACGTGTGCTCTGGAGTACGGCTGAGCTGATGCCTGCGCAACATCAGGATCTGGGGCTGAGTGATGTAATTTCTCAGAGGTGTTTGCCCAGGTGCTGGGTTTTTTCAGAGCTGAATAGGGTTAAAGATGAGGGAATTTGCTGGAAATTGTGTCAGCATTTAAATTATTCAAAGCCCAATCACTAGAAGGATCTTCCCATTACTAAAACCAAAGAAAATTACTGTTCTGAAGCAGTGAAAAGGTCTCCTGCTTTAGAGAGATAATGTTCTCTCGGCATCCAGAAGGGCATGACATTTTTCCCTTGTTTGATTATATTAAGTATATTAAACATGACCTCAATGTTTAAGGTTGCTCAAGCTGCAAGAGTTCAGAAGATTTTTGGATAAGATTTCTTCAATTTATTTTATTAAGCGTCTGCTATAATTGTAAATAGTCACTCTTTTAAAGAACAAATAGTAAGAGGTCAAATATTACATATTTATGATTCTGTATTTCATTGCAAAGGGAATTTCACAGGAAAAGAAATGTAGCTATGGTGGTTAGAAAGATATTTAAGAATCATCGGTGTATAAATAAAAAGGCTTTAATTCAAAGAAAAGTGTATAGAAAAAGTGTTCTGAATGTTGACTCAGCATAAGGAGAACTGAAGAATACTAGTTTTTGGCTCTAGGTGTTCACTTTTAGAAGTCAGGTTTGATTAAATATCATCAAAGAGACAAGGAATGGCATCAATGTTATTTATAGTTAAAGGAGAGATGATTTTCTAGTACTTTGTAATTTAAGATCAACAGGCTTTTTTTTAAGTTTAAAAATCATAGAAAATGGGCTTTGTCATTCTTTATGGTGTTTCCTGATTGTTCCAAGTACTAAGATTTGAATTTAGGAAAAGAGTAATATAACTTTTATTAATAATAATAATAATAAAAAAAACAATATCCCTACATGCCTTTCCATAAAGTCTCTCTTCAGTTCTCTTGTAGACCCCTTTAGGTACTGGAAGGCTGCTATAAGATCTGGAGCAGAACTGGTTAAAATTTTCCACTGAGAAGTATTTTTTCCTTAAAGTACTGTGGTTTTGTTTGATATGCAGGAAATGGTTATTACTGGTTAGAAAGAAAACCCCAAAGTCAAGGTTTGGCATAGAAAATATTGACACTTCTGCAATTTAAAGAGTCATTTTATTTCTATGGTATCAAAAATACAAATCAAAACAAAGTGTGTGTTTTCATTTGGATGTTTAAACTATTGATTTGCTGTGAAAATTATGACTCTAAATCTCTTTGAAAGTTCTCACAGGAAAACCAAAACACTTGGAGTTCTTAATCACTTACATATATGAGAACCAGATTGCCTTTCTAGCCTCCCTGGTGTAGTTGGTTAAAACTGCCTTAAACCCACAGTGACTGAATTTGAGGTGTATTTAATTTGAAGACATGAACGTCAGTGACGTGATGCAATCTAAGATGAATTTTGCAGAAACCTCTGCTGGGTATTTGGGTCTGCATGCTGCAGGATACCTGGGGCACAGGAGGGAGAGCATCCTGTGGAGGAATGTGGTCCTGCTGCGCTCTACCCTCTGTCCACCTCCAAAGGGTTAAAAGGCATTTTTGTTGATATTTTCATTTGCATAGAGTGGGATTTTTTTCTCTTTTCACAAGTGTAAGAGGGACTGAAGCAAACTACTTGACAAGGTTGTGTTTTAAACCAGTGCTGTTAGTCCCTGGTGAGACCAGAACAATATACACAGTCCATGCTGTCGAGTGAGACAGCTGGCTCCCACTCTGATATGTCAGGATTAATCCAGTATGTTCTCATTCAATTGCTACAGCTTTAAGTTCTTCACAGCATATTATACTAGAGCAGGCCATAACTCATACAAGTAAAGTTGATCTTAAGTGTCATGCCTATAGACCCTCCAGCCTTTCATGTCTGACTTTTTTTTTCCAGAGGAAAAGCCTTGGCTTTACATAGTAGTAGTTTTCCTGGAGGAAATGGGCTAAGGTAGAGAAAATAGTCCTGTACTTGTGCTGACATATACAACATAGTGGTGCAAAGGGGCAGAGAAAATTCTTTTGAAGTCATCTGTGGTCTGAAATATTCAACAGATTGGCAGTTGTGACTCAGTAAGGGTTTAAAACATGCAGAAAAATGCACAGAGCAGCAAAAATCCATGTCACCCTGGTTATAATGGAAAATGGAAGAAGGGAAACCAAATTCAGTGCTGTGTGGGACGATGGATTCTGTGTGATTAAGGTCTCTGCCAGTACCATGCCCACAGTAGGATTTCCTTTGTCACCTTTTCATGTCTGCTTGAGGATTTAAGTGTAGGGGGAAACATTACAGATTCCTTATTTGTGGATTAGAAAGGGGAGAGGTTTGTCTTACTATTGTCACTTACAGGTGTTACAACAAATAAATGTGGCAGGATGCAGGAGTAGTTTCAGCTCCACAGAGCACAAAGGACAAACACAAGCTTGCTTTCTCCTCATATTGTGTTGAATCCCCTATGAGGGGCTTCAGGAAGGGCAATAAGGGCAAATGGCTGTGTGATGTTGGTGTGATAAACCCAGGATCCAATGCACTGATGATTCCCAGGGCTGGAAATTCTCTTTTCATTCTGTTTTGTCCAAGAAAATATTTTATGTACAGTGACTTGTTGATGCTGACTTCTTTCGCTCATTCCCTTCTTTTACGGGAGCATTGTCTAGTTAAAGGCTGGAAGACTCAGTTGTCTTCTGGTTACAAGCCCCTTCAAACACCAGATAGACTCTGCTCTCTTTATGCAGGGCAGATGTTGCATCAAAATCTGTATGCATGCAAACTCTGGGTATGTTTATCAATAAAAGTTTGGTTTGGCAACACTTCCATCAGACGCTATTTCAGCCTCTTCCAGTGTGTGTTATAGTCCGGGCATCGGGTCACAAATCGATGACTGTTGGCTTCCTGGTAGCACTGCTCTTTGCACTGCCTCCTACCTTGGTCATTCTTATGCAAGGGACTAGTTTCCAGGTCCTGGTAAGGAGAACCCTTTCTTTCTGTCACCCAGATACCTTCTCTTGCAGTAAATGCCAACCACAGGGAACAAGCAGACCTTTGGGCAGTCGTAAATCACTTTCTCCATTCAAACACAGTTTTCCTTTCCCTTCCTTTCATACAGGTCGATAAAGTGTGTGGACAGCCCAAACATCAAGAAGGGAACCTGTCATCAGACAATATAGTGCCAGTGAAGGAAGCGACTGCTGACACCCAGACATTTGTGATGGCTCACGCTAGTCTGAACAATAGAAGAAGGTAACCCTAAGCAACAGTTGCTTTGAAATAAACTGTCTACCTCACAGTTTGCATTAACGGCTTCTTGCACCATAGTGTTTAAGCCACAGCCAGGATTCTGTCACCTCGCCTCTGTGCTACCCAGCCATTGCCATTACTGATAGTTACACAGATGTCTTTGTGGTATTTCACAGCAGGTCTCTCCAAGAAAAGCTTTTTTCAGGCCAGACTTGATGTCATTACTTAGCATCAAGGTGTTCCTTACTTCCAGAAACTTCCAATGAAAATGATGAAAGCTTTTCCTCCATAAGGCCAGAGTAATTTCCACAGCTGAGTGGAATCAATTAATTAAAATACAACTGGTAGGTCTTTAAGGATTTAAGCTTATCCAGGGGCAGAGGTGGGAAAGAGGAAGTGGTGAAAGGGAAAGACAGAAAGTCAGTACCCCATTTCACAGGGCTGGGGAGTAGTGAGATTCCTGGCGATCTCCTTCATTTGTTACACAACAAAACCAGAGCAGATGCATGTATGTTTAGGCTTCTCATGTCCATCTTGGCTTCTGTTCTTCAGTTGCTTGCCAGCTGAGACACTAGACAGATGAATTACTGCCACTGTCCTGGCATGAGTGTCCCTGCTCCCGGATCTCCTAGTCTTTCTTTCACTTTCCCCTATGTAGCTCATGTTCACTTTCCTCATTGTAAGTGGGGAGGGAAGAATGTCTTTGCAGTCCCACTCGTGACATGAGTAGATGTCAGAGCTAACAGACCATAAAATCACAATTACATATTTTTGGCTAACACGTTCCCTGTAACACCAACATTAATCTGGAACTTCAGCAAAGTGAGTGGAATTGTGCTGGGCTTACACCTCTATCTGAGAACAGTATCTAATCTGTGCAGGGGTCTGTGTGTATCTATGTTGGATAGGTAATATCCAACAGTAATAATGAAATTTACATAGCCTAGATTCTGGATTCTGTGGTTTTTAAGTGAGATTTTTATCCATTTCTATCTTGCTTCTCATCTCAGCTTGCATGAATGAAACAAACACTGCTTTGAAAAGTAAAAGTAATAGCAGCAATATAAGTTTTTTGATTAGCAGTGGTATTTTTATCCCTTTGTAATTATTTTTAAAGACACAAGGCCCTAGGACGTCTTCTGTATAACTCACTGACTTCACTGGGACTTATATGTAAGCAAAAAGGCAGAATTGCCAACCTATGAACAGGTAACCTCTTAAGAAGATGCAATTTGGTTTATTTAATGGCATGACAGCAGTTCTTTCTCACCTGGGGATCTGCTCCTTCCCCTTCCCAGCCATCTAGAATTATTTGGATATTGACCTGCAAGACCTGTAGGTGGAAAAGAAAATATATTAAAACTAATATACTGTAAATTAGACAGCTCCCCCAAGTTGGTCTGCACTCTGAAATTCATCTATCAAAAAATCTAAGGCCATCCCTACATAGATGGCATAAAACAATACCGAAATGTTGGTTGGTATTATGGAGAGTTTATCCACCAAAAAAATGATGGAGCCATGCCATTTTAGTAACAGAAGATTATTTCCAAATTTCCCATAGCTTCTTATAAACCTCATGGCATGAAGCTTGTACTTCTGGGAATGAACGAAACAGTAAACAGAGTGAAAAACACAGTGATTGGCTACGTCGCTGTGTTGTTCCTCATCTATCATTTAATTTATTATCTATTACACATGCTATCAATAAAAAGCAATCTTGGGTAATGAAACTTTAAAATGGATGGGTGAAATCATTCCTGCAGTGGACTGTGTAAAATGCACTCAGAGTGATAGGTAACTGCTATAGGGGATCTGGATTATGAGAGTAATTATGTGAGAATCTTTCTTGGTGCCATTCCTTCTGGTGATGTAAAAAATGGAAGAGCAATAGTGTCAGATGTCTGCCAGTTTAGGTACAAGGTCACACAGGAAACTGACCTGACTGGGTGAGTCTGGTCTGTGTAGTAGGCATACTTCCAAATGATCTTTAATTCAAAGGGAATATGGAACATGACTCTCACCTTTTAGAACAAAGAAAGAAAAAGAGAAGGAAGGAGCCAGCACTCCCCAAGCGAACAGACAAGCTGTGGTGCATTCCCTTAATGTGTCAGAATATTCCTAAGCTAAAAGGGAAGAACCAGCCTGGTTAGCACACCTGTAAGAAAAAACACAATAAAGTAGCTTCTTGTCTCTTATGTAGTACCTGCTTAGAGGTACTGACCCTTAAAAACCTAGTGCCAAACCACTTTTTACCTACATATGTATGTGTGCTTCTCTGCAAGGCTGGTTACAAAATCAGGCTCTATTTCCAAAGGGTCCAAGAACCTCTGTTTTCAGCTATTCAGTAGAGCCAAGGCTGCTGGTGCAGTTGAAAAGTGGGATGGTGAAAATGGTGTCTCTTTGCCTGACATCTGTCTTCTGGCTGTGCGTTTCTAAGTCTGGCTGGAGGCTGTCCTCCTCACCCTCCCCTGCTCTGCACAGCATGGTCCTGCATGGTCCCTCAATTCACAGAGCAACTGAATCCTCTTTTGTGAAGGTTGAACCTTTTTCTTCTCCTTCTCCTCTTACTCTCAGGTTCCTGGGGTATTTCTCATCTTTATTTTCCACTGTATTCTATTCCTGCATATTTTTTGTTACACAACACTGTGGGGGACAATAGTGTAAGAAGCTGAAACTGGAATAAATTATCTTGTATTAAACCTTTTCTGATGGTTAAGCTAAAAAGCATAGATTTGATTATTAATGTTTTATTTTTCATTACATAATTGTATTCAGGGGTTAACTAAAACTGGCACTGGCAGCATTGCTGCTGCAGTAATTTTGTTTAATGTGGAGGTTCCTATAACATGTAGTAGAGATGAAAAGAAAATTGAAACCATATGATGGTACAGGGAATGTCCACGGCATGTACAGAATTTTGATCAGTGGAATGTTACTGCTGAGTTCAGCACAAAGTACTGTTCTGGTCAGGATCTGGTCTCCTACCAAAGCTGAATACCTGTCTTTAAGCATATCTGCTGCATGTAATATTTCAAACCACTAAACATAGACTGGTTACAGATCTGTACATAAAAACGCGTGATGTTTAATGAAGAACTGTAACATAGAATCAACTAGGTTGGAAAATAAGATCATCAAGTCCAACCTTTATCCCAGGACTGATATTAGGTGCCTCATTGGAGAAGAAAGGCTTAGAAATGATATTTCTTTGGGATTTCCTTGGAATAGAGTGAACTTACAGATCTTTTACACAAACACTTTTAGTTGCTTTGAGAATGTTTGAAGTTAATAGTATCTATTTGTTTTAGATTAACTATCTGTTGACTCAAGCATCATGTTTTTTTGTTAATGTTTGTATACTAAAGTGGTAGTACAAAACAGATTATTAACACCAGATATAAAGTAACTTACTATGGAATTGAATCAGACATTTCTGACTGAACGGCCAAAGCAGAAATTTCCTCAGCTCCATATTTCCTCTGTTAAAAATGCTCATTTCCTTTTTTGACTGGCTGTGTTGCAATCGCTGCTCCAGTGGTGGCAGGTAGCACTCACCTGATGCTCAGTGCAGGTCATAGAATCATGGAGTTATAGAATAGTTTGGGTTGGAAGAGACCTCATAGCAGCCTTCTCCAGGCTGAACAGACCCAGCTTTCTCGGCCTGTTTTCATATGCGAGGTGCTTCCTCGTGGCCTTCCTCTGGTCTTGCTCCAACAGTTCCATGTCCTTCTTACATTGGGGACACCAGAACTGTATGCAGTTTTAACTGACATGATTCGATAGCCTATCCTGCTCTATTTACACCTCTACTCTCACGTATAAAGAAATGGCAACAACTAGCGCAATGCATGCCTTCAGGCACGTTCTACAATATTTGCCCATGCAGTTAACTCTTAGTGAAGAGAGTAAGGACCACCCTCAGCAGCTCTGAGGACACCCACAAGTTGGCAGCTTTGCCGTCACCCTTTCTGAGGGCTAGTGGTAGGGGTGGCCACAGGAAGGGGGAGAGATTTTTTAGCTGGGTGTGTTATGATAGGATGAGGTGTGATGGCATTAAACTAAAAGAGGGGTGAGTAAGGCAGACGTGAGGAAAAACTCTTTACAATGAGGGTGGTAAAATCCTGGCTTGGATTGCCCAGGCTGTCCAGAGAAGCTGTGGCTGCCCCATCCCTGGCAGTGTTCAAGGGCAGGTTGGATGGAGTTTGGAGCAACCTGTTCTAGTGGAGCAAACTGGTCTGTGGCAGGGGGTTGGAATGAAATGATCTTGAGATCCTTTCAAACCCAAACCATTCTGTGATTCTATTATAAAACTACACCATGTTACTAACGTTAAAGGCAATTTTGAATGTTAGTGAAGGGGCCTCAGGATATCAGTGCCAGAAAACACATTTGCACTAAATAACTACCAAGGTTATTTCCACAGTTCTTTACTCAATCTAAGGTTAAAGCCAGCCTCCCTGTTTTGTGAAGTTGGTTTGGTTTTTCTCAGTGGTGCAATCTGACCAGAACTGAATAGCAAAAAAAACCCTTGTATTTACATTATTCATTAATAGGCAAGAAATTGTTCATTGTACCAGCAAATGAGTGCCCTTCCCACAGTTTCCAATCTAACCTGTTTGCCATTGTTTTCTTGTATAGCTTCATATGTTTACAGTTCTTCCATTTGGTATCAGTTGTAGATAATTTAAGTACCACTGAATGGTTCAGATTTTTGCCCTGTGAGCTGTATCTGTAATTATGCTGTGATTTGAAAAGGATTGGGAGAAACAACCTCAATTGTTTAATTTCTTTTCCCCAGTATTGCATTGTCATTTTTAATTGCATCTATACTTTGGAAAAATCTCATGACAACTTTCCTCCCCATTTGTTTTCTTATGTTATCCTATGCATGTGCTTGGTGACCTTTCTTCCAAATAATTTTTACTTTTCTCTTTTGTTTCTCATTCTCTGGCCTTCATTTGCCTGAATTCCTGCTTCTCCCCTACTCCCCAACCTCTCCCGGTTGATGCTTATTCTCCCCGGCCTATTCCAGTTCTCTGCCTCTGAAAGCTTCAAAGAATGACAAATCAAGAAGTCTGAAAAAAGTCTCTCGGTAAGAACGCAACCAAGGTGACACACTTTGTTGTCTCTACACTGGGCTCCTCTCCATTGTAAGCTGCTGCTTCAGCTGCAATCTAGAACTTGGCAGACTTCTTTTATACTGCGGGACGCTGGGAAACTGTGTGTTTTCTACCCTTAGTTTTGTCCTGATGCAAAGTAAGTATTTCCACTCTCTAAGAGTAGGATGCAGAATCCTGTGTTTCCTAAATGCTGCTTCGAACTGTCAGAGCCCCACTCTGCTGAAAGTAATAAGGACTTTAAACCTCTTGGGGTGAGCTGAGGAAGACAAGGTTTAGACTATTAAAAGGGTGCCCTTTTTCTCCTTCAACGAAAGCTCCATTTTAAAACCTTTAAACTCTTTAGCATTGGTGTCACATGTCTCATAGCTGATGCTCCCAAGCTGTTCTATCAGGTAAGTGGCTTTTCTGGGTCTAGCTTTATTCTAGGAAGACTTAGAGCTTCTATTTGTAAGTTAGTGGTCAAGAGATGGAAATGCTGTTTCCTTGGTTGTAAGCCCTGAAATTCCTGCTTTTTTCTTTGTCTAAAATAACAGCTTTCCTGCATTAGTTCCTTAAGACCACGTAACTAATTTAGCGTGACGGGAGAGCAGGAACAGCCATGAGGGAAGAACAGTGGTAGCCATGAGAGAAGAGCAGAAGCTGCCACGAGGGGAGAGCAGAGGCAGCCATGAGGGGAGAACAGTGGCAGCCATGAGAGGAGAGGAACACGGGCAACCATGAGGGGAGAGTGGGAGCAGCCATGAGGGGAGAGCAAGGGCCGCCATGGGGGTACATGGGATGGCCTTGAAGGTATATCTTGAGGGGAGATGAGGCATGGCCGTGAGGGGTAGAGGAGGCTGCTATATAATGTGGGTCACTAAGGGGGAGCAGGTGAGGGGTGGCTGTGACTGGAGATCATGAGGTGCAGCCATGAGGGGAGATCAGTTTGCCCCCAGTGCCATGGGTTAGTAATGGGCCTGGCAGTCCTTCGGTAATGCTTGGATTCAATGGTCTTAAAGGTCTTGTCCAACCTAGTTCCTTCTATGATAAACCAGGATGAGTACTTTGGCCTTCCCAGTGGGGCTCTTGAGGGACTTCTGAGACAAGCAGGTAGCTCCGTGATAGCTTTAGCTCAGTTTGTCTGCATCTTGTTCTCAGTATTTTTAGCATCTTATACCAAATAGGAGTTTTTAAAGCTGTGGAGACAGGGTAATTTCTCATTCTTAGATGCTCTCGACTGTGTGCTGAATTAAAACTTGGTTTGTTAGAGTTTATTTTTATGGCTACCTTAGCCACATATATAATATAAGCATAATCAGACCATACAAGAGGCAGCAGTTTGCCCACAAGGCATTTTTCCATATGCACATGATCAGAAATGGGTTGTTTGTACTGGCAACAGCTTTTGGTTATTCCCCAGTGCAGCAGACACAGCCTCCTCTTCACAGGTGAGATGACAGACATGATGAGAGAGAAATTTCTTTCTAATGAGAATGTGACATGAACAGTGCTAATGGGGAGGAATTGGCCCCACTGCATCTCAAGAAGATGTCTTCCTGTATTGTTGCTGGATGTGTGGGGTGCTTCTAGCATGTTGCAGGTTTTGTAATGGGGTGTTAACTTTGACAAACCTTTTCCACCCAGGACGTTGCTGAGAACGTTCTTCATTCATCTCCCACGTTTGCAGGAAATATAGAAATACTCACTTCTAGTAAGAGAGAAAAGCCTGTTCCTTTAAGGATGATGTTTTCTCACCATTTCTTTAATCTGTTTATAGAGAAACAGTAGGTGTAGACTTTTTTCAGGTTTTGCGTGAGATGTGTTAATGTAATTTGTTAAAGCCACCCTTTGTGTGTAATTATTTGTACTAAGACTGGGCAAGTAAGACTGGGTGAGACATAGGAGCAGAAATACATTAGAAATAGAAATTAATCAACTTAGGTGACTTAATTCTATAAGGCTTCTATACTCTAAATCTTGTGGAGGATTAAGTTGACAGGTGGCTTAAACTGCAAGTTTACTGTCCTGTTGTTAAATGTGTTCTTCCTATGTTACAGAGAGTTCATCAGTTACATGAAGCGATCCCGAACCTTTTATGCCTCTATAGCAGAACGGCTGTGTGATGGAGATCTGGTGATGAGAGACAGCTCAACCTGCTGGAATGGAGAGGATGTTGTAGAAAGGTAAAGTTATGCGTAAAAGTTTGCTCTAATGGTGACTTCATATCCTTCAGATGGTTTAGAAGCGTTCTGAGACACTGTCGTCATCATAAGTTTCTCCTTCGCGTGAAGCTTTGCTTAATTGAGCAAGGGTTTTGCTAAAATAAAAGGTTGTTAATGCTGAGGTTTATGTATCCACATTAAATACAGTGGAACATTTCCTGGCTTTGCAGAGCCCCTTCTTTTCATTATAGAGAGGCAGCTTTTCTACTGTAGAGAGATCTTGCCCTCTAAAGCTCAGTTAGCAAGCAGTACCCCAGTGACTGATGGGAGGTCCCTTCCAGTCTGCTTTTTATGAGCTTATTAGTGCAGAGCTGAACATCATGTTTGGCCATAATTATGAAATATGCAGCTCTTCCTGTAAAGGTGTCTGAAAAACACAGTGACAAGACCTGACATTTCTTTTCAGGTTTTCTGACACAGACTTTGATTAACAACTGATTTAGGAATTGAGCAGCATCCTTACCACAGCCTGTTCTGCAGGAATTCTTACATAGTAACCATTAATGAATGCACTGTTTTGTGTTGGCAGAGCAGCTAGAAGATCTGTAGGGTGAAAAAATCTTTCTAGTTTGTCAGCTACTTTTTTCCTCTTCTGTATTTTATCACAGTCTCTCCCATTACCCTTTAGAATCCAAACTGAAAATACACTTGCATCCTCCATAAGCTCAACTTCTTGCTGCCATTTCTCTTGCTCGTGTACAACCTCGGGCTATGTTGCCCTGAGGAGAAAAAAGGTGTTCAGAGTTCAACTATATCTGTTAACAATCACTGTCAAAGCAGACATCAGTTTTTGCAGTGAGAGCTGTTTGCAAGTGTGCCAGTGAGTGGTTTCCACAAATGTCTTTTTGTCTAAACGTAGATATTCCATGGGATTATGTTGGCTTTCATGATGTTTTTTTTTTAAGTGTATTTTGTGGTCTGTAGCAGTTGTAAAAGATAAAGTTCTGTCATTTTGTTTTCTTGCTTTGAAACAATTCTCATGACTGAAACTTAGGGAATCATTCCAATGTGGAGCAGAGAGATGTTACAGTTATAGGCTGTCCCATTAAAGAGAATTTTGACTCCCACACAGTTCTGCTTAGATATGTCATGTGTAAATAACTTCACTTAATTCCATCTGAGATGTTCAGATATAAACGTGTTTAACACATTCAAAGAGGACTATAAAGTTTAATATTTCAGCATATATTGGCATTAAAAATTAATTGTAGGATCATATATTTGAAGATTTGGGAAAAAATGCAGTATTCTAAACACTACACAGTGACTGTATTTATTAGTTTTTACTGTAAAAATAATGGAGAGGAAGTGGGGAGAATATCAGTACTTCTAATCAGTATTTCTATTTCAGAGTCCCTTTTGCTGGTAACATATTGTTGGATGCACAGTCAGGTTTGGGAGCTAACTGTTTTCTGGCCAAAAATAAAACAAGAAATGCGTTTTACGTATCAATTCTCTGAACAACACCACCAACAAAACTGGTTTATTTTTTATGCTATTTTGCGGGAGTTAGAACTATAAAGACCATCTGTAAGCATGGCTTAAGCCACTGTAATATTTGTCCTTTTTCTGTCTACCCTTTTTTTCATCTGTCCTTGAGCTATAGCCATTTCTGTGTTGAAACCCACATATAAAATTTGGATCAGAAGATCAAACTTAGCTTTATTTGGATCAGGGAAAGAAAAGCCTTTGCAAAAATCAATCTAGGGAATTCTCTGTGTGTTGCCTCAGTTTCAAGAGGAAAGTTCCTGAGTTTCCAAATGAAATGGTCTTTTACTTATTGCCAGTTAGCTTGATCTGAAATAGTATTCATGATGGCAGAAGAAGTAGAAAGACTCTGCTGCTCAGACATAGCTTTCTATTGTACAGGTAGAGATTCCACCATCATTTCCAGTGTGTCTCTTTAGGAGTGCGTATGGGTAGATTTTACCTGGAATGGGTTTCTGTGAGTGTGGCAGATTCTGTGACTGGTGTTGCATTAAAGCATTTGACACAGGCTAAAGTCTTCATTCTCATTTCTCCAAATCTGCCTTGGTCTCGTACTGCTATGAGGAGTTAAATGTAGTAAACCTATGTTCATATCACTGAAGTCTACAGGTTTGACCCTGACTTGGTGGGGAAGGAAATTTGTTTACAGCAGCAGCTTTTCTGATTGGAATCACTTTCTCAGGAAATTTCAGGTGTGATATTTTGGGGTCAAAAATTTGCATGCAAGAAAGGCTTTTAAACGAGACTACTGGGAATATAAGAGAAAGAGGTTTTGTAACACCCAGTAAGAACCCACACTCCTTGTCCTTCCTACTCTCCTTTTGTACTTTACTTGTTTTTCTTGGAATTTTGTGTGGAGGGATTAGGGGACACCTGTCCACAGGCTCAAGCAGAATCATGTCATGGGTTGTTAGGCTCCCAGGGCCTGTGCAAGCTGGCTGAGAAAGGAAGTGGCAAATCACAGTGAATTCCCGTTCTCAAAATGTTTTCCTTTAGGGACTTCCAATTTTTATGAGGTTAGCACTTTCATTGTCCCCTTTCTCCTTTCCTTAGGCTCCAGCAGGCAGCCATCTGGATGTGGAAGACAGAGATAATTATTTAGCCTTAGCATACTTAAAAAGCACTTAGCTTCTATTACACTTGTGCCATCAGTGTAAACAATTCCTGGAGATACTGTATGTTATAAAATACTATATTTTTTTTGCAATATTTTTCGGGTTTTAGGGTATTTTCCAGGGCTTGCAATGTTTTTGTTGGTATAGGGAGGTTTTGGTGGAGTTTTTTTTGTTTGTTTTAAATCCTGTAGGATAAATTAAATACTTTAGGTTGGAAGTGACTGTTTCAGATACAAATTTGCCCAAGCTTACCCTTCAGAATGATGCAGAGCACTGCCAGGCTTTGAATGGCATCCTCTGTATCACTCTGTCAGGATGCTTGAGGAGTAAGTGTTAAAGTTCATTGTCATGGAACCAGCTGGATTTTAGTAAGGCTGCTAATGACGTCTTGTACAGCCACAGTTGGCCATAGGAAGGAGAGGTGGCAATGGTTAATAGCCCCTCACTTCATGTAAACTTATTGTGTGGCCAGAGCACCCCAGTTTGGGGACTTTCTTACTTCTTGCAGTAACAAGCAAGTTGTACTAGGACAAGAACAAAAAGTAGGCAACATTAATGAAGATAGAGTTGAAACCATTTACTTCCACATTGGTGATGTCTGAAATATAGGCTGCTGGCCTAGGTTATGGTGAATACTTGGAGCATTAAAACTTACCACGGAAACCAAACTAAAGATGAAGATAGCTCAATACTTTTCTTATTTAGGCCTGCTGCTAGCCAGCTGTCTGTGAATAAAGCCTCCTGATGGACTCCAACTTGATGACACAGGTCTGAATTTGCCCCATGTTCTTCTAATGTCCGTCTCGTAAAATGAACAGTGTCTGCTCTGAGAATATTTGTTATTTGTATGTGCAGATCTGATGTATTAAAGATTGAATGTGATAATTTGCAGTAGGTTCACTTTCACGTGAAGGAGCAAAAACATGGCCTTAGGTTGACCAGGAGAAGAATATTCACTTTCTCTGGGCTACTTCAGGTGTTGGGGGATTTTGTGTTCTGCTATCTGAACTGGTCTCTTCCATGCTCATGAAGGAAAATCATTTAAACAGCAGCAAGGGACAGCACTGAGCCCTGTTCTCCCAGGTCACTTTTGTCAAATGGGAAAATAAATCCTGCATTTTTGGTTACTGAAAATCAGATGCTTTGTGGAAGTGAAGACAGAAGAATTTAATCTCAAAACTGTTTACCTTTCTGTTATAAACAGACACACTTTATCTGCTTTACAAAACGTATCCCTGTGAGTTTGGTCAGATTGGGATGGATAGATCAAAACTGGCTTTGTAAGTAATGCAGGGCCAATGCCAGGCCAAAAAATATGAAGGAAAGGGGAAGAGTTGTAGGGAGATCAATTAAGTAGTGTAGGCAGGAGGTATGTGGAGGTCAGCTGTGTAAACATGAGGTAGTGGGAGTAGTCTTAACTGTCTTTCCAGTGTCTCTGGACTAAGGAGGTGCTGAGTTGATTGGAGTAATCTTTACTGGGATATCCTGTTCTACAGCTCCCACCATCAGGCAGCAAAGACCAGTCAGGCCAGGCTGGATGTGGTTCTGTTCACCCTGATCTAGTTGAAGGTGTCCCTGCTCATTGCAGGGGGTTGGACTACATGATCTTCGAAGGATCCTTCCAACCCAAACTATTCTGTGATTCTATGATCTCTACCAGCAATAGCACTGCAGGAAAGGCATGGAGACTTTATTTCTGTGGAATACTCTGGATTTATGCTTAGTTGCCAAGAAGGAAGTTTCTACAATTAGAGTTTTGGGAATAATCATAAAGAAGGATGGAAAAGCCAGTAAGCTTAATGCACTGATTTTACTCTCCTGCTTTCTTTGGGGGCATTTTGCAAATTATGGTGCAGTCCCATGAATTAAAAATATATATTCTTAGATCCATGATTGCCTTTAGCTTGGAAGGGAGCTCAGGAGGTCTCTGGTGCAACTTCCTGCTCAAAGCTGGAGCTGCTATGAGATCATATCAAGTTCCTGAGTGCTTTATCCAGTATGGTCTTGAAAAACCTCCAGTGGTGGAGACAGCATGAGCTGTTACTTGTTCCACTTCTGGACTGTCCTCATGGTGCAGAAGTTTTCCCTTTAGAATAGCTAAGAAGTGGCAGTGCTTATCAGACTCTTAATGGCTGTCAGATGCATTTAGAGAAACAGCAATCTGCATTATTTTCTGGTTTTTTACAAGGTGAGAGACTTCACTGATGATGGAAAGAAGCAATTATATTATAAATGCAAAGCACCATGCACAGGATGAGATAAGAATGTTCTTACACCCAACCACTAACCTGTAATACTTAGATAAATACTTACAATATGAATAGTGCCACCACAGAGGACTGTGCTAGTTTTAAAAAG